TATATATATATAAGAAGTTTCAGACCATGATATTTTCAGACAATGAAATTGGTCTCACAAAAAAAAAAGGAGACAATTGATACACCATCAACAAATTCTCATAATCCGACACAAATCTTAAGGCATTACACGGATCTTCATGCATTTTTTTTAGAAAGAAATGTTTAACATTCAATTAATAGTTATCAAGAGCTCCAATTTCAACAAAATTACAGATAAACTGACTGGCTCGATGAGACAGACTCAATGATACCAAAATTGGTTCAATCTAAAAAAATCAAGCCCCGGTTAAGCCAATAAACTACTTTTAGAAGTATTTTAGACATATTTGGAAAGTCAAAACAAATGTTGAATTTGGTGAGGTTATGGTTGAATCGAGCGTCTCAACAAGACAAATCCAATGAGTCCAAGATCGCTCAATTCTAACATTATTAAGGCTCTCAAATATCCATCAAATTTCATATGATAAAAAAATCTCTTCGGACTTTCTGATTAGTGTGGTTTATATCATTTCATTAATTGCAACGGTATTCTATAAATAGAGTTTCATCCCTCTCCTGAAGGGGAGGAGAGAGCATGAAGCAGGAGAAATCGCTTGAATCTTAGAGAAGAGTTAAAAGTTCAGCATTACCTCGCCACTAACCATCGCTGATCATCACTCACATGCTTTCACCGATCAATATCGGTTGTCGATCACCATCAGCCGCCGCCTACTTCTTATAACAAGTTCATACGCGCACCAACATTGTAGCTATGAAGAGTGTAACCCTTTCTCACCTATGAGATGAGAGACTCTACTAGTAATCTCTAGTTTATAATGAATTTATTCAACTGGGTCATATCCCGTGGTTTTTCCCTTTACGAGTTTTCCAAGTAAAAACTTCTGATGTCTCTACTGATTATTTTTCTTTCATTCGTGTGTGTTCGTGCAACACTAAGGCGATAATCTACTACTCTACCATCGTGAAATTTCTAACACGCATCAATTTTAAATGTTTCTAAAAACAATTAACTCAATCAAATATATTTTAATTATAAATATATAAATAAAATAAAAAAATAAGAAAAAAAAATGCATTTCTCTCTTTAGTTATACATCTCTCTCTTGCATGTGGGCTTGTAGCATATTTATTTTGAAGGTTATAATATGTCCCATAAATAGATTTGAACCAAACATGCTTAAATGCAAGATATCAAGAAGCTTATCGTAGAACGTGGAAGTCTCCAATAATCTTGCCCTAATATTCTTTCCATAATTTTGAACTAATTGAGTTTGCCTCCAAACTAAAATCTTCCGCCAAACTTCGAGCCTACTTAAGCCACCTGCCTCCCAAGCAAATTTCCAATCTCCATCATCCTCATTCCTCTTATGATTGACAGGAGATAGTGGACATTCTCATTGCCTCCATATCTGTGTATGTAGTTTTCGTTATTGGGAATTTACATACACACCGCACCCAATTCCTTTGCATTTATCCATCTCACACTCAAAACTCCTATTTTTACAAAATTTTCGTTATTTCTTTTCAGTGGCATTGAAGATACACAAGAGGACAGGTAGTGTTCCTTGAACAGTTTCAATGGCTGCCGGGGCTTTTCTCCGTGCCCAGAGCTGCAAATCCAATAGCTCTTCTATGTGGAGTGCAGATGACATTTTCTCGAGGTCAGTGAAGAGGGAAGAAGAGGAGGAGGATCTGACATGGGCGGCCCTCCAGAAATTGCCGACTTATAATAGATTGAGAAAAGGCATATGGAACATGGACGAAGGCGGGAGGAAGGAGATTGATATAGAGACCCTTGGGTTCCAGGAGAGGAAGGAGTTGTTGGAGAGGCTGGTGCGAGTTGCGGAAGATGATAATGACAAGTTTTTGCTGAAGCTCCGCAACAGGATTGATAGGTAAGATGGAGAGGAAAAAAGATTAAGATTTTTCAAATGACTTAATTGTCTTTCCCTTCATGTGTTTCAAGGTTTCAAATTCTCGATTTCAATTTTGTTAGTGTTGGGATTGATTTGCCGACCATCGAAGTACGGTACGAGAACCTGAGTGTTAAGGCGGAAGTATATGCGGGCGAAAGAGGTTTGCCTACGCTGCCCAATTCTGTGAAAAACGTGCTAGAGGTATTCATAAAGTTCAAAGTACTTCTAATTAATATATCATATTTATGTTCAATTCGTTAATTGAATAAATGAGTCGGATAGAGATAATTCTTCTTCTTTTTTTATGATATATAAATGAGTCAAATATAATTAAAATTTCATTTCTTTCGTGTTTCTACTCATTCTAACTCATCAATAAGTAAATTATATATATATATATATATTTTAAATTATTTAATTTGTTATAGACTATAAATATTTATAATCAATTAAAATTATTAATTAAAAAAAGGAATAAAATATAAATAAAGCCCCTACCTTTAACATCGGCTCGCTGCATTATAGGAATGTCAAAATGATTTGTTGTTTGTGAACACCTCGTGTTCTACTTATTCGTTTTGGCTAGCTAAGCAAACGTGTCGAACACGTACAATTTTTTTGTGCTGATATATTAAAGAGTCGAACACGAACAATATTATTTCTTAACGAGCCGAACACGAATAATATTATTTTTTAACGAGCCGAACTCGAGCCGAGCCTAGGCTAGCTCAAGCTGTGCTCTTTTACACCTATCTTGTGTAACAAAATTAATAATGTGAGGGATATTTGTACAGCCTTCACTAAACTATTTAATGAATGAAAACGATGGGGCCTGACCTGCTTGTCTTCTTTGGTTGATAAAGACCTTTGCCAACAGGCTTCACATTCTACCAAGCAAGAAGAAACCTTTAACGTTGCTTCATAATGTCAGCGGGCTCATCAGGCCTGGAAGGTAGATGAGCAGTTTCATTACAACAGTAGCGAACATAGCTGATAAACAACTTAGTTCTCTCTCTTAATGTTCTACATGCCGTAAAGTGCAGGATGACTCTACTCTTAGGACCTAATGGTTCAGGAAAGACAACTTTACTGTTGGCTCTTGCTGGACAATTAAACTCAGATGTGAAGGTTTCGGGAAAAGTGTCTTACAATGGTGTAGGAATAGATGAGTTTGTGCCTCAAAGAAATGCTGCTTATATCAGCCAGCATGATCTTCATATTGGAGAGATGACTGTTCGAGAGACTCTATCATTCTCTGCAAGGTGTCAGGGAGTTGGAACTCGTTATGGTAAGCTTGATCAAGCATATCACATCATGTGGGATTTGATATTTATTCAAGGAATAATTCCATACACATCACTGGAAACATTGCTATTTGCAAAACTAACATCAAGATATAATTTTTAAATTATCGAATGATGCATTTACACATGCCACCATCAAACCCTCGAAAATTTGATAAGAAAATAAAAAAAATATTAGTGGGGCAGAGATTTGAAAATTGAATGAATGTGCTAGGTTTGTAAATTATAATATAAACAAGAGGATGCATGAATATTGTCAACTGATCCATTATGTGCTGGCAAGCAGATATGTTGGCAGAGATTGCTAGAAGAGAGAAATCGGCAAATATAAAGCCAGACCCTGATGTTGATGTATTCATGAAGGTCAGGGGGTGCTCTTTTTCCCAAGCTTATTATCTGCATGCAATACGCGTAGAACTATAGCATAATTAAGCTAATAACTAATATACAAATGGTGAACTAAGTAAACTAGCTTCACTTACGTACAGGCAAGTTCAATGGAAGGACAAGAGACGAGCATAGTAGTTGATTATGTACTGAAGGTAACATTATATTACATGAACACAACTTATCTCATCTAACCTATCTATTTATTCCTTAAAAAAAAAATTTAAGAATTCAATATGGTGGTGTTTCGCAACAGATTTTAGGGCTAGACATCTGTGCTGACACAATGGTTGGAGATGACATGATGAGAGGCATTTCTGGAGGACAGAAGAAAAGAGTTACAACAGGTAAGAAAAGGAAAAAAAAAAAGGATATTTATATACACAGCCCCAATTCTAGCACTAATGCTCATATGTATTTACATATTTCAGCTCTAAACTTTCATATTTACAAGTATGGACGAAAAAGATTAGCATATATACCACATAATTTTTTATGTAGTTTCATATCTAACACCTAAATTTTAATTTTTCATCTCTGTCATTGTACTTATCCCTGAAAAAGTTATATTTAACTTCGTAACAAATAATTCAATAATAGTGATAGTTTAGATGTGATAAAAATTGGGAAAACTAACATAGGTAGCGCACAATTCTTATCTATTTACGTACCTCACACCAAAACATCTATATTTACACACATAGCATTTTGGTGCTTTTAAATTTATCATTAAAATATGTACTTCACTTTTAAAAAAATAGTAATAGTATTATTTTTTATGTGATATTAAAGATCTGAGTGTTCTTCGTAAATATGAAAGTTTTGATGTAAAAATTAAAATTTGGGTGTGAGATAAATAAATGCATAAGAATTGGATGTAATGTATGTAAATTCCCCAAATATTAATTATGAAATTCTTTAACAAATAACTTATCAGCTAAAACATGTTCCTCCTTCTATGAAACCTGCCAACTTCTTTCACTTTGAATGACCCAACCTGATCACCAATCTATGACAGGGGAGATGATTGTTGGACCAGCAAAAGCTTTGTTCATGGATGATATATCCACCGGACTTGACAGCTCAACAACTTACCAGATTGTAAACTCGTTGAGACAGTACATACATATACTTGATGCCACGGCCGTCATCTCTCTTCTCCAACCAGCGCCTGAAACATTCGATCTCTTCGATGATATAATTCTTCTCTCTGATGCTCAAATCCTGTATCACGGTCCTCGTGAGCATGTCCAAGAGTTCTTTGAGTCAATGGGTTTCAAATGCCCGGCGAGAAAAGGAGTCGCTGATTTCCTGCAGGAAGTTGGTTCAGAACTAGAAATTTGACCACAAATCAATTTCTGTTTCAATAAGCTGATACCGATTGACATAATGGCTTGCAGGTTACATCCAGGAAAGATCAACAACAATATTGGGCACGGCATGAAGAGCCTTACAGATTTGTTACTGCAAGAGAATTCTCAGAAGCCTTCAAATCATTTCACGTCGGCGAAAGATTAGACCAGGAACTTGCCGCCCCATTCGATGCGAGCAAAGCACATCCTGCCGCCTTGACGACTTCGAAATATGGGGTAAGGAAGATAGAAATACTAAAAGCTTGCATCTCTAGAGAACTATTGCTGATGAAGCGAAACTGGTTCACATATGCTTTTAGAGTATTTCAGGTAAGTGATAATTATCTCTGGCCTTCTTAACAATTTGATTCGCATAATAGATGCTTCTAACATTTTAAGATCTTCTATTACTCTCCACAGCTGATTTTACTAGCATTAGTTGCAATGACACTCTTTAAAAAGGCATCGTGATTCAGTCGTGGATGGAGAAATTTATTTGGGTTCAATTTTCTTTTGTACAACTGTGATCATGTTTAATGGATTCTCAGAGGTTTCATTGACCATTTGGAAGCTCCAATTATTTTATAAACAAAGAGATTCCTTCTTTTATCCTGCATGGGCATATGCATTACCATCGTGGATACTCAAGCTTCCTATAACTTTGGTTGAAGTTGGTGGTTGGGTGTTTGTCACCTATTATGTTATAGGTTATGATGCTAATGTTGGAAGGTAAGAAATCATTTTAATTATTTAAACTTGGGAAATTTACATACATAACACGCAATTCTTATGTATTTACATATCTAACACCTAAAGTTTGATATTTACACTTATTACACTTTGGTGTCATAAACCTATGCATGAAAGGTGTCTTTCACTTTTAAAATGATAATGACAATTGTATTCTTTATGTGATGTTAGAGAGTTAAGTTGTATGTATGCAAATATGAAAGTTTATGTTCAGAAATTAAGACGAAGAAAAACAAGAATCGACACAAATCCAGAAGAACGCAGGTTAGGCAAAGATATCTACGTCATCGGGAGCAGAATGGCGGCTTTCTTTCAATTCCAGAAAAGAGTACAGAATATGAGATACTTCTCAGGATTACAAACAAGCATATATATAGCCCTGAAGTAAACTCTGAAGTACAATATGTAATTACAAAATTACCGCTGTACCATATCGCGGGGTGTTGCCCCTGCACCCCCAATGCACATAACGAAACTCGCTCGATTTGGACAGATTCTTCCGTTCCGCTCTAGCATTTGTCCCTTATATGGTATATGAGCCATATCTAACAAATCTCCACCTTGACAAATTTCCAGCCCCTTAGGAGTACATCATGGAGTTTCTTACATACTTAAGTGAGTTGGGTGATCATGCTTCTCCAGCAACTGCAAACATTCAACAAGTCGAAGCAATGCAAGAACTTGTTGATAGTAATTATCTTGGTCAACATATCAGCTGCATTTTCATCAGTATGAACCTTCTACAGTAGTATCTCACCAGAAGCAATCAATTCTCTGATGTTGTGATACCTGACATCGATATGTTTGGTTCTTGCATGTTACACCTGGTTCTTAGCCAGATAAATAGCACTCTGACTTTCACAATGCAACTGAACTCCACCTTGCTCAACTCTGAATTCCTTTACTAGCCCAACAAGTCATGAGGCTTCTTTTGCAGCTTCAGCTACTGCCATGTACTCAGCTTCAATTGTAGATAATGTCACAATAGACTGAATTGTTGATTTCCAACATATAAGCCACCAAGAGTAAACACATACCCAGTTGTAGACCTCTGCCATTCAGATCACCTGCATAGTCTGAATCAGCGTACCCCACAACTGAAGGATCATTTTGCTGACTGTCAAAAATAATTTCATATCCTACAGTACTCTTCAGATACCTGAAAATCCATTTGATTATTTCCCAATGTCGCCTTCGTAGTTTAGACATGTATTTGCAGACTTTACTAACAGCATGAGCCAAATCAGGACGAGTACATATCATAGCATATATCAAGCAGCCAACTGCAATGACATATGAAACTATTGTCATGTGTTCGATTTATATATCTGTCTTAGGACACTGTTCTAAAGAAAGCTTAAAATGATTTGTCAATTGAGTGCTCACAGGATTTGTCTTGCTCATCTCAAACATGTCCAACAATTTCTCAACATAGCCTCGTTGAGATAAACATAATCTTCTTGAGCCCCTATCTCGATGAATCTCCATTCTAAGAATCTTCTTCGTATGACCCAAGTATTTCATGTCAAATTCCTCGCTCAATAAAGCTTTCAAACCACGGACATCATTCATATTTTTTTTGCAGCAATCAGTAAATCGTCAACGTACAATAATAGAAAAATAATAGAACGATCATCAAAGCTCTTCACATAAATACAACAATCATACTTACATTGCTTGTAGCCAATCTGAATCATGTAGGAGTCAAACCACTTGTACCATTGTTTTGGATATTGTTTCAACCCACACAAAGATTTCCTTAATTTGCAAACAAGATGCTCTTGTCCTGGTTGAGTGAACCCTTTTGGCCGTTCTATGTAAATCTGTTCCTTCAAATCACCATGCAAGAAAGCAATTTTAACATCCATCTTCTCCAAATACAAATCCCAAATAGCTACTAATGCAAGCACTGTTCTGATTGAAAAATGTATAATCACAGGAGAAAAGATTTCATCATAATCTATCCCCTTCTGCTGTGAGAATCTCTTTGCTACCAGTCAAGCCTTGAAATTTTTCCCTTCTTTTTCTGATACTATTGGTTTCGTTTTGTACACCCACTTGCACCCAATTGACTTCGTTCCCCCAAAAAGCTGAACTAGTTTCCATGTGCGATTTTTCTACAAAGACTCCATCCCCATAACCATTGCACTCATCCATTTCTCTTTCTCTTAGCTAGTGATAACTACTTGAAAAGTGGTTGGATCATCGATGTTGATGAGAAGTGCACAAGAGACCATGTTTTCATAACTCAATCTGCTAGGAGGTCTTATATTGGTGCATCTCTGCTTATCTCTGGCTAGATTATAATTATGTGGATCATCTGGATTGTAATTACCAGGTGTTAGATTTGAACATTCAACTCTCTCAGTTGTTTCTGAATGTTGTTCTAAATTCATTTGTACTACATCTGAACTATTATTGTTCCCTTGCACCTTGTCTTGATTCTGTTGCAACATAGATTGTACATCAAAAACTGTATTTCTGCTGATCACCATCTTCTTTGCAATTAGATCCCAAAATTTGTATCCTTTCACACCTTTCTTGTAGCCCAGAAAGATGTCTTTCTTAGCCCAGAAATTCACACCTTTCTTGTAGCCCAGAAAGATGTCTTTCTTGGATTTTGAATCAAATTTTGATCTTTCATCTCCAGGTACACGTACATAAGCAGGACAACCAAAAATTTGTAAATGATCGAAATTAACTAGATTCCCTGTCCATACTTCTTCTGCATTCATGCCACCTAACGATGCCCGAGTTGATCTTTTGATGAGATAACATGTCATATTCATAGACTCTACCCAGAAACTCTTAGGAAGTCATGCATTTAGTCTCAAACATCTTGTTCTTTCAGTTAAGGACTTGTTCATTCTTTCTGCCACACCATTCTGCTATGGTGTCTTGCGCATTGAAAAATGCCTCTGAATCTCATGCTCCTCACAAAAATTTTTGAAACTGCGAATATGTGTACTCTGTGCCCTTATCAGATCTCAAATACTTGATCTTTCTGTCAGTTTGGTTCTCAACCTCAGCTTTCCACGGTTTGAATTTAGAGAAGACTTCAGATTTCTGCTTCAAGAAATATACCCAAACTTTCTTGGAGAAATCGTCAATAATTGGAGAAAGAAATCGTCAATAAATCTAACAAAATACAGAGATCCTCCCAATGACGATTCCCTGGGAGGGCCCCATACATCAGAATGCACATAATCAAGAATTCCTTCAGTTTTGTGTTTTTCAGTCATAAAACTGACTTTAGTTTATTTTCCAAGAACACAGAACTTACAAAGATCGAGCTTGCAGCTTTTAACACCATGCAACAGGTTTCTTCTATGCAATTCTACTATCTCACGTTCACTTAGATGACCTACACGCATATGCATAACTTTGTATTATCATCATCTGACTTCACAGAATGGACTTCACCTACAACTGTACTCCCCAACAGTTTGTAGATATTACCTGCAGTTAACTTTCTTTTCATCACAATCAATGAATCCTTAATAATTCTGATAGTTTCTTTATCTTCATCCGTCTTAGAAATAAAATCATTTCTATGTAAATTGCCCGTGGAAATCAAATTCTTCTTCATATCTGGAATATGTCTGACATTACATAATGTTCTAACAGTGTCATCATACATCTGAATTATGACTTCACCAATATCAATAGTGTCATCATACATCTGAATGTCATCATACATCTGAATTATGACTTCACCAATATCAATAATATTGCAACATCTATCATTACCTAAATAGACTAAGCCAGAATTAATTAACATATATGAAGTAAACCACTCTCTGTTAGGTGTTATGTGATAAGAGCATCCTAAATCAAGAATCCATGCATTCATGAATTGAGTTGATGAAACTGAAAGCATATCACCATTACTGCAATCTAAATTGTCATTCTGCATAATATTTACAGACTTCAGTGATACATCCGTTTCTCCTTAATCTGCTTCTTGAGCTTTTGCCAATCTTTTTTCTTATGACCTGACTCCTTGCACTTATAGTAATGAATCGTCTTTTTGCCTTTGGATTTAGATCTGGAATTTCGCCTTCCAGAACTCTCTTTCTCTTTCTTCCTTCCACGATCATGATTACCCTTAACATATAAATTGTTGACGAGAGTTTTCTCCTGCATTTTGTTTCCGCTGGTTGCAAGTCAACAATGCTGCAGTAATCTCATCAACATTGATAGTTTCTTTCTAACATGTAACAGCAGTCACCGGGTGTTCATACGAAGAAGGTAATAAACACAACAAAATCATTGTTCGGTCTTCATCATCAATACTCACATCAAGCCGTGATAAATCTGTAATTATTTAATTGAAGTCATTCACATACTGTGTCAAATCAGAGCCTTCTTGTATCTTCAGCCCATACAACTTTTGCTTCAAATACAATTTATTCGTCAGAGATTTAGACAACTGAGTTTCCAATTTCTTCTATACCTTCCTTGGAGATTTCAGATTCATCATGTGATACATAGCCTCATCTGCTAGGCATAAACGTATGGTTGCTGTCGTTTGTTGTTGTAATTCTTCCCAATATTCATCCTCCATCGCATCTGGTTTCGTTGCCCGCAAAGCCTTCAAAATCTCTTATCGCACCAACAAATATTTAACACTTGTTTGCCATAATCTGAAATTATTAGTTCCATCAAACTTCACCGCCTCAACTTTTGCACCGAAAATTGCTCACCGAAACCTGCAACAAACTCTTCTGCAATTTCCTTTGCTAAATTTCAAAATTGCTGAAGCGAGAAATTACTATTTCTCTTTAATTAAGTTCGTTCAAAATAGAATCTTTTCGAAAAATAATTAAAATATTCCTTTCATTAAATTTTCTTAATTAAATTTTCCTTAATTAAATAATTCTTTTAATTAAGTTTCCTAAAAAATAATTTCAGTAAAATTTCCTTTTCCTTTGTTTCACCTCCGCAGCCTCCTCTAGTCGAGGAAATTCCTTCTAGCG